GAAATGAAATTAAATGCAGAAAAAAAAAAAAGAAGAAAAAAGGTGAGGTAAATATTAAGGATGAAAAATTACATTCCAAAGTAAAGAAATGAAAGAAGTTTCATCTCTAATAATTGACATCATGACATGAATGGCTTTCCTCTTTTATTTACTATTTGTAAATACTTCAGAATTAACCAGCCAATGATAGCTCTGGAGATAACAAATTGTAAGAAGCTTCTATGCATTTGAGCTGCTCACAAAGCTGAAAACAAGTATTGGGGCAAGCCCTGCACAGGAGTCACAGGGAAGGAGATGCTAAGAAAGGGAAATGACATCGGCACTCAGCAGTAATCCAAAGGGTTTAATATATGCCCTTAGTGGCCCATGGTCGTGCAGTGATGAGCACAAGCTAACAGACCTTTCTAAGAAATGGTGCTCTTTAGCTCAGACAGAGCACTGCAATAATGCCCATTTGCTTTTGGTTCTGCAACTAGCTGGAGCTTCTTTGCAGTTCTGGAGTCCAGATTTTTAAGGTATTAACAATGCAAACTCCCACCTGTCTCTGACTTACTGGGAAGCTTTTTGATTGCTTGTTTGTTCAGAGGGGAACTGAATTCCTAGATACCTCTGAAAATCCTGCCATTACTGTCTATGCACGCCAAAAGTTACAAGTAACGCAGAATTCACAGCGCAGAAGGCACTTTTATGACAGTTTAAATACCTTAGGAAGGCTGGTGGGTTTCGTGCTTACACATATTTTGAAATAGCACAGATAATGTATTCATTCTGTGCCATTCAAAATTCCTGGTTTGGTTGGCCTTGATGTAATAAATATATCACGGGACGCAACATGACACAGGGATTGTCCACAATCAAGACAAAGCGGGCTTTGTGCAATACTCGGAGGAAGAGGGATGTTTTTTTGCAAAACTACTTATCGATTCTTGAGCTGAAATCCTGTCAACCACTTTGTGGCACTCCTCTGGATGTGAGTGAGTTGGATTTAGCCCTTTAGGGTTGTACTATATACTTAGTAATTTGTGGGGGAGAGCGAGCTAATTTTGGAGTTTGGTATTCTGCTCTTTATCTTCCTTCTAACCTTGGCATTCCCCTACCCAGAGGGAACACCAGGTCCATGCCTGCTTTTGCAGCCACTGCCAACCGTCTTGCTTGGCAGGCTGGTGACTACTTGTTCCTGCTTGGGTTTGCTGGCATCTGTCTCGAAGTGCGCGGCCTGTGCCAGCCAGCAGACTATTAGCCCTGTCAAATATTGTGACTCTCTGGTGAATAGCACAGTGCGTAATGTTGGCAACACTGGAGTAGCTAAGCCTACAAGTAATTACTTGATTTGCAATTGTTTATTTCTTTATGTGCAAAAGCTGGAAAAATTCTGACTTCCACAAAAGGATAAACGTTAATCTGCCCTGTGCCTTTGCACTAATTACCTTTCTTCCATGATTTCTCTAATAGCTGCCACATTAGGACCGGCTCCTAGATGGGTATAGAAAGGACCTTCATCTTTTTCAATAATTTGCTCTGTTTAAAACAAAATAAAGGTTATTACTTTGAAACTTAATTCTTTAATGTAAAAAGTCACATTGCAAAGCTTACATCTAGCTTGTTAGAATACTGCTGTATGGGTCTGGGGTCAGAGTTTTCAAACGCTTATGTCTAAAGTATGCCAACACAATTTGTACAAAACATGCAAAGCACGTGGCTAATCCTGCAAATAGCTGTGATATGAACTGTGTGCCTTTTGCTAGCACAGTTGTTTCACTTCTTGGGCTCTACACTGAAATTCGAAAGGCATTTTCCTGTTATCACTGAACAATTGTTTCTCCTTCTCCCACTTCCTCCTCTCCCAGTATCTAGAAAGGAGGATAAATGGGATAACAGCTGTAAATATTGACGTTGGTGAGCTGTACAGTACTTGTTTTTCAGCAGACATGTTACAATGTAGGAACCTACAGCTTGAGAAAGTGGCCAGTAAGGTTACATAGAGAATTTCTCCCACCCACAGAAGGACTCTGTGAAATGAAAAAAAGCAAGTTTGCTGAAAGAAATCCTGCACAAGGCTTAGTCAAAACGCTTGTACGCTAAGAATGTGGCCTCAGTTTTCCATGTGTAGGTAGGACCATGTCAGCATTCACACTATACGCTATATGTTTGGTTTGATACCAGGAAGCAGGCTCCAGCAGCGAGACAGAAATGACTAGGCTCTGTTTGGGTTCAGGAGGAGATAGTGGAGCTGTGCTGACTTGTCCGAGGGCTGACTTTACGCTTTCTGCCATGCTAACTCCAAAGGCTGGATGAGGTGATGCTGCTCTTGACGTACAGCCTCTGGAAGCATCACGAAGGCATGCCATAAACCTGAAGGTGTCAATGGGGGAACGGCTCAATTTAATCTTCCTAAGTATTGGTAGGAAAGAGCAATTAACCCTATCGATTACCCTGTGGCACCATGTTCTTCAAACAGGATACGAACTAAGTTTCATGCTCCTTTATTTCCTAGAGGGTCTCCCAAAACTGAAGAATTAAAATGCAAGTGAAGAATAAGCTCTTTCGCTTAGTTAGCGGTTGCAGTACTGGCTAAAAAAATAGCGAGAATAACGAAATGACTGCCAGAAAAACTTGTGCCAACTACATTGGAGAAACCGTCTAAAGAAAAGAAACCCAAACAACTTCAGCATTTTCAAAAAAACTACATTTTGTAGGTGGTTTCTTATAAAACAACAAGGAACAGCAAGGAACTGGATTCCAGTTTTCTTCCTGGGAGCTTTGGAAATCCACTACCTCCTCTTTTTGTTCCCATGGATCATCTCTCAGATACAGCCCCAAGGACTCAAAAAAGCAAAAAGGTCCATTTTGCAGTTTTGGAGGAGCATTGGTTCAACTTTCCTTTTTTATAGTTGGTACAAAATCACAGTAAGTGAAATTACAAGGATTCCTCCCTCTTGCCATTTTTGGTGGTGAACCTTTTGTCTCAGCCTGAATAGTTTATCCAGCAGAGTATGAAAGTGTCTGTCAGACCTGGCTATATGCAGTGGTAGTAGTCTATGGAAGCTCGGGCTACAGGGCTATGCCTGTTGCTCTGTTTTGCCTCCCTCTGCTCTACTCTTCCAGCTTTTGGAGATCAGGTATGCCACGAAGACACACTGACGGCCCCCCTTGTTGCTTTTTTGACGTTCTTTGCGTAGCTTCTCTAAGAAACTTCTGATCTCTTTAGCCTTGCAGGAGGCATGTGTGTGAAAGGGAGGATAAACTTTTGCAACAAGTGAGGAATAATAATCTGTCATCCCTTCTTTGCTTAGGCTTTACTGAGGGAAACTTCAGCTATTTCACTGTTAGAGCAAAAAATGGTGTAAGGATCTCAAGTTTTGGACCCGGGACATATTTTATAAATGCCACATCTAACCTTGACAAATAAACTAGATTATAAACTTACGACCTACTTTTTATCCACACGTTGTCATTACATGTCTGCTGCTCAAGGAGAATGGATGTGAGGGGATACATTACTGGCCATAAGCATTCTGACTGAAAAAGTAAACAGGTAATTGCTTTATGAAATATTGAGAAAGGGCCTGTGTATAGGGTTGGATAAGTGGAGTAAGCGTAAGTGTATAAAATTGCAATTTTGTAAGTCGTTACTAATTACTGTTCTAAAGAAAACAACCGAAAAAATCCTCCAACAAAAATATCCAACTAACCCCACAATCCCAGCTTGAAGGCTCATTTCCTTCCTGTGAACCAGTATGTTTTCAGTACATCTCAGCACTTACCAACACAGCTGCAAGATGGGAAATCATACTGGGTTTTGGCAGGTGTGTCCAATAAATTTTTTACAGGAGTATCCAGTAACTTGGAAGGTGAATCTAAAAAATTATTGAGAACAGTTCCAGCTGTTCTTTTGGTCGGGGTTTTCTCAGCAGACAAGTTTGCTTGCTGATCTAAGATTGGGGTCTGAGTGTCAAAATCTGCAGCACCGGTATTTCTTGATAGGATGGTAATAGGGCCTGCTGTTTCAACCTTCACATGTTTAGGTGATTTGATAGTAAAAGTCTTGTGATCAAACAGTGATTTGACCTGTATCTGTTTTAGCTGCTGTTCCATTGTCTCGATGATGCTCTTTTGTTGTATGTTCTCGCAGCCAAAGTGCTGATTCTCTTGTTTAATTGTTTTTTTCCACATTTTGTTTTCCAGCTGTCCAGCTGATGGACGCATGCAGACATTAGACTTTGTGCCAGCCTCAATTTTTATAGGCTTGCGTGCTGCACTGGGACCAACCTCAGCTTTGGGTTGCTGGTATGCCTGTTGCTCCTGTTTTTGCAAGAGATGCCACCTTAGAGCAGCATGTTTTTGAAAATCCTTAGGGGTTTGGGACTGCAAATGACAGCCTCTCTGGTCTTGGGAGTGTGGGGCAGTTTGCTGGCTGTGTGGTAAGTACCGCTGAGAGATTTGTGTAGCTTGTTGGCTCGGGAGATCTTGGTTCAGACTACCACCATAGCACTGTGTTTGCTGGAGTGCTGGTAGCTGTATAACTGAAGCTTGTTGTGTCTGTTGCTCTTGTTCTTGAAAACAGTAATTCACATCTTGCTTTGCGGTCAAGTTATTTGAAAAATACTGCACATGTTGCAAGTCCTGCATTTTGTTGGCTCCAAAGCATTCGATGTTAGCGGCGTTTTCTTTCTTCTCAGAAATCAAGTGCACTTTGTTTGGGCAGGGATGCCGCAGATTAGCGTTTGCTTTCTGAGTGTAAAGGGAAGCTTTGTTGTTCATGCTCTGTACCTGCTCTAGGCCTAACTGAGGGTTATGCAGTGGGAATGCAGCTGATTTCATGTACTTATTCCCAGCTTGAAAACATTCATCTACTTTAGGCTGATTGAAGGATGTCCTGTCCAGTGGCTGCTCAGCATTGCTTTGGGAGTGGGAAATGGTTTGGGGCAGGTCTTTACTTTTCATTTGAGGAGCTTGTTGCTGGTTTGGGGTTAGCTGCGTACTGCACGGCAGTTGCACCTGCTGTGCCTGTTTTTGAAGCATCTGTTGCAAAATGTGTGAATGCAAGAATTGCTCGTTTTCCCCCAGCTGGGGATTCAAGTGCTGCTGTTTCAATGGGGCCCCTACAGGCTGTTCGGCTTGTTCTGGTCTTTGCTGGAAATGGAGCTGCTGCGGAGGGTGTTGCTGCACCTGGGACTTGAGTGAGGAATCCATCTTCTTGAGCTGTGGCTGCGGTGAGTGTTTCTGGAAGGGCAGCTGCTGGTCAGCTGTGGGATGCGGCTGCAGCTGGGAGGTCTCGCTTTTGTACAGTGGAGGAATTTGTTCCTGTTGCATTATCTTCTGGCTCTGGGGCTGTCCTGAAGGCCCCTTTAGTGCATCAGGACTTCCAGCATACTGTTTTGTATAGGCTGTTGCGGCTGCGTTTGCCTGGAACTGAAGAATTGATTGCAATAATGCTTCGCTGGGCTTTTGGGGAGGCTCTCCACGGCGGAACTGGGTGGAAACCAGTTCTATCCAGGCTGGTTTTGAATAATGTTGAGCCTGTTGCACGGGCTCTTTCACTTGGTCCTTTTCTTTGTCTGAAGGAATCTCGGGTTCTCTCTGTCCTGGGAAATGCTGATAGTGTTGCTGCAACTCACCCTCGCTTCCGTGCGCTTGCAGGCTTTGGAGGGGAGGCTCTGACGCCGGCGTCATTTCGTCTGGGTGCTGCTGAATTGAGGCGGCCACAGCAGCTTGCGGGTTGCTTTCACTGACATCTTCTTGTGACGTTTGTGCCTGCTGTGGAAGTCTCTGCTGAGGGTGAAGTTGTTGCTGGCTGAGGCCGGGACTTTCTGACATTGGTCCCTGCTGTTGCCCTTCATTCTTTATCTCCCCAGGAAGAGTTTCATCACATCTGTTATCATAGGAATGGTGTCCTTCTCGCACCACGACAGACAGTGCACTGTTCATTTCCGGAGCAGGAGGAGCAGAGGAATCTTTGTGAAACGTTGAGTTCTGTTTAAAGAAAGCACCATTTATTTCTGCTTGCTCAGAAAACCTTTCCAGAGTGGCACTCTGAGCTTGCAGGTTACTGCTGGAACTGAGAGAGAGGTCTTGGTTGGGAACCTGCCCTACGCTTCCACGAACAGTACTATTTCCTACGGGTAACTGGTGTGGATCACAGCCTGGAATCTGTTGCTGTAGCTGTAGTTCTGGTTTCTGAAGCAAACAGCTACCTGGCAATACAGGTGGTTTACTGGAGTCTTCTGCATTGTAGACCTCAGTAACCACTACAGCTGGCACTTGAGGCAGCTCAGAGTTTGAGGTCTGTGGGGAAGTGATCTGCCCTGAGGTATGGGATGAATGCGTTGTCTCACAGGACAACTCATTAGTAGCCTGACTGGTAATGGCATTGATATGAGATGTGTTCTTCTGCATTGCTATGGAAACATGTTCTGGATAATATTGAGACAGTGTTTTCTCCAGGAGTTCACCATGCATGCTTTCCATGGAAGAGGCAGAAACTGTAGCACCATTAGGCATTGGCACTGCCTTGTTCTTAAGTAGTAAGACAATGTCCCTGTTGTGGCAATGAATGTTCTCCCGCTCCTGCTCATCCTGAATCAGGAGGTCACGAGGGTTTTCTAAACCACCACTGTTGTATCTTGTAGACTGTATCAAATCTGAAGCTTCATTTTCTTGTCCTGTAAAACTCTCGGGTTTCTTCTCACTGTAGCAATTGGAGACGCTTGGTTTTTCATTACTATCCTCTGGCTCAGCTTTTTCTCCGTTTACCTCTTTGTCTTGTTTCACTTTCTTGCTCTCATGAAGTCCATACAGAGAGGGCTCACTAAAAGTGCGTTTTATCCCACCATTTTGCATATATTTGGAATATACTTTATTTTCTTGTAAAAGGTCAGGGCTAATGCGGTTGTCTGGACTTCCTTTAAGGTGGGGCACTCCATAGTTGCTTTTAATGAATAGCCGCTTGTGGTCTCCATTTACTTCAACTTCAGGCCTCTCTGTTGCTGGACTTCCATTCTGTAGTTTCACCGCAGAAGGCTCTGTCTGGCAAACGTGAGAAGATTGCGGTATTAGAAATGGACTCAATCTATTGCCGTCAACATGGTTGGTTCTGTCCTGTTCCATCTGGCCTGCTCCGGGGCCATCCACAAGGTTACCCTCTGAACGTATCTGAAAGAGAAAAGAAACAGGAAAGAATATAAGTCAACTTCAGTTTTCATTGATGGGCAGCATTACCGACAATTCCTGCAGCACTCAAGCACCCATTGTCCCGACCAGCTCCCACACACAACGTGAGCTCGCAGGGCACCTGAGGGGTGTTTCACTGTCCTATCACATTTTGCAGCCCTGTGTCTCACTTTTCCTTGAAGGTTTGTTCTTCGAGATGAAAAGAGAGTGAAAATACAGAGTGGCTCCTTACCGCCATTTAACACAGAAGCAGGTATTTTACCAAAAATATCTCTCCTAATGGTGTGAAAAATATTATCTGCTTTGAATGATTTGTATAGACCCCTCTGTCATCACTTTTTCTCCTTGGTAAGGCAGAAAGTCATGACGGAAACATGGTTCCCAGACTTGGTACTAATCTCGTTATTCGATTAAGTGTGCCAAACCTCTTCTGTGTGACTTGAAGGATTATTGCCACCAAGCTTGCCAATTAAAGGGGAAAGCCTCCTTTTTTCTGTCTTCAGCTGTCTGACAAGATCTTTTAGAACGGGCATTCCTAAAGACCATGCAAGTGGCACGATAAACATGTGAGACAAATCCATGCTTGATGCCTGTCTATAGGAACTCTTACAGTTCATCATCTTGGTAATGTTGACAGAAACAAACTGAGAGATTTCTGAAAAGTTTGATGGAAGTGGTATTTTTTCAGGTATTAATACCCTTTCAAATTTACACATAGACATGAAGCATGGCTTAAACTATGCATTTCGGTTTTGAACTGAGCCCTACAGCTGTGGAGCTAGGATTTTTCTTCTTCTTTGTTTGGATGGAAAATCCTGTTTTCTCATATACTCTTTACATTTTATTTATAAAATGAAGTTTTTCATTGGATAAAAGTACTGACAATGTGCAGTGAACAAATTCCACATAATGACAAGCTAATCCCGTTCACATGGATATTCCCAGGATTCGCAATCCCAGTTAACACAGATAAAGACCTTCTTTGACTCTGTTTGTAATTTATTCTTTCTTGGATTTATGGTTCTCAACCAGCTACAAATGACAGAAGACAGACTGACAGAGGGTCTTACAGATGTGAGACTGCACAGAGAGAATTTGGACTCATGCCTGTCTTTGTCCTGAAGCTTTTCTTTTTAGTTTGCATAAAGGGGAGTCTGAAGGGTTCTCCATTAGCAGGTCATTCCTGGTTGGACTGGAAAGTCAGAAGCACGACACATAGCTGGTATTGCCACTACGTAGGAAGAACTACTACACTGAAAAATTTCTCCCATCAAGGTTGCTCTACTCATGTATTTATCCTACACTGATTCAAAAAAAAAAAAAAAGCTAAGGAACATCTAATTTATACAGTTTTCAGTGCAGTACTGCCTTACTCAGTTGAGTAATATGATCCTAAAATGATTTTAAAAGTAATATTAATTCATGAGATTCATTACATCCAGCAGAATCCCCTCTGCCTGCAGCTCCGATTTCAGTCTCAGGACAATTCAAACATGCATTTTGACTGGCAAGCACCTATATGATGACTTGTATCCACTTCCTCCTTATCCCGAACTTGGTTTTAGATTTACTTTTGACCTCTTGAAGTTTTTTCTTTTCTTTCTGTACTCAATTTATGTTTTGTATGACAGCAGTAGAGAAGTTCTCTCTGCAAGTAACAGTACTTAAAAAAAGAGTTTTTGAAGGGAAAGCTAAGAGGGAGATGGAAAAGAATGTTTGTCCATCTTACATAATTTCTTAACAAGGTAAGGTAGGCTTCTTCCCTCCTAGATATATTTTAGTATATTTCTCAACCTAGCTTTAAAGTACCACAAGACATGAGCCTTTGCAGCTTTCCCAGGGAGACGATATTCCATGCTTAACAGAAAGCTGCGTGAAAAGGATTCCTCTGATGTGTCATTCTAGGCCGGGCGGCAGAATGATACTCCCAGAGTGTCTCAAAAATAAAATGTCAGCCTAATTTGGAAACCATTCTTCGCCTTCACACCTTTCATACCTAGAAATTGCAGCTGAACCACAACTCGGACTATGAGTGTGTAGGCTGCTGTATTTCACAAGTATGAAATTAAATAAAAGGCACCATAGTAATTAACACTGTGCTGTCAAGCTGCTACTAAAATATTTACTTCTTTAAAAGGAGTTTTAGTCTGTGTGATTGAGCCATGAGAAACTTCCTCTGGACCTCAAAGTCTGCCTTGCTGCTTGTGTTCTGTTGTACCATGTGGGTTGCAACTAAATTCCTCCCGAGAGTTCCCACACAATCTTTCTTCACAACTCCTTGCTGACAGGTATAAACACCTTTTTGTTTAGAAGTGGGGGCTGCCCGACTTCTCTAAACTTAGCTTGCACACCCCTTGAAGAAGCACATCTATGCTTCAGGAAAGAGTCTTAGGTTCATGCCATCCTCAAAAACCACAATATTATCTTCACTGCATGACATGGATTATTATTCACAGTATTCTCAAAGACCTCAAAGTATGAGTCAGCCAGTTTCCCCAAATTCTGATCACATTCCGTGTAAAAGACACTGTGTTAGACATTGCAAAGGACACAGGAATAATCTGGTTCTTTAAAATACAAAGTTAATTCATTGACTAAAAGTGACAGATTTGCATTCTTTGAAATGCATCTAGGATTGTGGTGACTTTGCGTTATACTTCTCTCTCTCTGTCTACACTCAGTTATTGACAATCCTCGAGTCACACCTGACTACAAATCTTGCTCAAGCAGCTACAAATCACAGCAATTACTTGTAATTTAAAATTGGCAAAAGACAAATGACAGCAATACCTTTACTATTGGTTTTAGCCGGGACACCATGAAGATATTCTTGATGCTAATACTAAGCAGACCTGGTTGCACATTGAAAAGTCTCTGTGCTCTTCTTTATAATCGTTATAGGGTGAACTGTCTGCCTTTCAATCTACCTTTCACTAAGCGGAGCAGTTAGCCTTTTTTCTCTTTCCTGTAACCGTATTTTATTCAGATCATTTAGTAGCTCTACATATTTTTCTTCAGCTATAATTCACTAGAAATTCAAGTCACATCAGCAGCATCTGTGAAACAATTACTGCATCTAGCACTGACTCTGCAGTCTAATCCATCATAATTATGACTGGCCTCTTTGAAGATGCCACGATGCATGACTTAAATATAGCACATTACTGTGCAAATGGATCAGCATCTCATCCCACCAATATGCATTCAAGCTATAATTCAGTCCACAACCGTTTGACTTTTTCAGATGCAAGCAATGTATGTACATTTATTTCTTGCCACATATGGGGCACAAATTTGAAACCAACTACTGAAAGAGAGTTTGAAGGTTTTTCTGTTTGTTTGTTTTATGGGCAAGCTTAGCACATTCCTGCCACCTCCATCAATACGGGAATACTGAAAGACTGTGGAAGGCATTGTTATAAGCACAACAAACATTTCTGCAGCAACAAAAGTAGTTATGCGATTTTCTTTCATGGAAAATCTTTCTTTACTTTTAGCCAGTTCTAGAGGTTCATACCTTATTTTATATAGCACCTGTATCTGGGAAGTTTGTGAATACCAAGCAGCTGATGAATGAAGGGACAAATACACCCACTGCAGGGGAGTACAATCTTCTGCAAAGCTGGGCAAGATTCCCGGTAGAAAAAGTAGGTGGGGGCATGCTGTGTTAGAGTAATTGTGGCCCTAAAAGGACCGAAAGGGGGGATGTCAGATGGGTTGTTTCCCCTTCTGGGGTTAGCTGGGATAGAAATATGTCTCCTCAGAGGTTTTTCTCCCTGGCAGAAATATACCTCCTCAGATTACGACCTCAGCCGACTTGTGCTTGAGTGGTCATCAGGATTAGACTCAAGCAAGCAGAAGCTGGATACCCGGGAGCTTGTTGCTGGCTCACTGGGATGCTCCTGGAGCGCTGCCACAGCCTCCATCCTGCTGGCACCCTTCTGCCACCACCAGATGACACAGAGGTCTAAAGTGCTCCCAGATGAGAAACCCCTGTAGCACTCTCTAGACAGGAGGTGGATTTACCTATATGTCTTGCCATACTCCAGTTTGGTAAGTTGTACTTTCTGCTTACACTCTCCTGCTCCTGTTGCCTGGGTACAGTAGTTGGCTTCACTTCTGGCTTAATTTGCTACATATGATTATGTGCTGTTGTGCAGTTGCTTTTCTCCTCTGAAGCTCATGCCACTGGCAAAGAGGTCTGAATCCTGAAGTTCCAACAAGTGAAAAAGCTCCTGAAGTGATTTTTTTTTTTTCCTATTTCAAGAACGAATGAAAATTCGAGAAAAGGCAAGAGTGGAGTTGTTCCTGAGTAAGCACACTCATAAATGGCATAATCAGAAAGCTCAGTTTCTGCACTAAAACCTTCTGGACTTGCATACATGTGAAATTGTTTCTGATTAACTCTGTGTCAAAGTTTTCTCTTTTTTTAACTTTGGAACAAGATGTGTAAGCCATTATAATGATGCTCAGCACCATGGTTTATAGCCATGTGGTTATCATGGGATGTCATTTTTCTCTGGGCTATCTAAGTAGCAGTTGCTTCAGCTGTGCCTTGGGTTAACACCCGTAAGCGAGCTGCAAATGTCACTTGAGGAGAAAAGATGTGCAGTTAATTCAGATGGCTAATGGGCGATGTAACACAGCAAAGCTCCTTATTATTGAGACATTTCCGTTATTGCTGGGATAAAATGTTGCTCACATGAAAACTGTGGTATAGTTTAAGGACTTGCTATATGTTTTACTCTTCAGGTGCACTGTGTTTATACACTGAGAAACAAAGCAAGCTTCCACGTGGAAACTAATGGGAGAGGCAAACTACGCCTGCCCAGACTCTGGGTGGTTTGCCATTCGCAGAACAGCCTCTTCCCAAGCCAGGGTTGCTGGTAGTTCACAATAAACACAATACCATCAGAAACCAAACCCCACGTAGGCCTGTTGTTTAAATATGGCTTTAAGGTGCTTTTCTGAAGCCAAGG